TAAGGGACTTTGGGATTTTGATGAAGACATTAGGTCACTACTTTAAGTTTATACAGCATTAAATAAACATTTCCTTTCCTTTTCATGAATCTCTGGCATTGAGAGACATCTTTCTTCTGACAGCGGACATAATGAACCTGGGGGGTTCCTTTTGGTAATATTATATTGCCTTTGGCCACCCCCCTTGGTGTTCAGTAACAATATCTCATTGTGGTTTTAGTTTTCATTTCTCTGATGATTAGTGATGTTGAGCATCTTTTCATATGTCTACTGGCCGTTTGTTAGTCTTCTTTGGAATGACTATTCAGGTCCTCTGCCCATTTTTAAATTGAATTGTTTGTATTTTTTGTGTTATGTGAATTCTTCATAAATTTGGGATATTAACTCTTTATGGGAATATCTCATTCAGTAGGCTGTCATTTCATTTTGTTGGTGGTTTGGTTGTCTTTTTATTTTGTTAATGATTTCCTTTGCTGTACAAAAGTGTTTAGTTTGATGTAGTCCCATTTGTTAATTTTTTGGTTCCCTTGCCCAAGGAGTTATAGCAGAAAAAATATTGCTAATAGAAATGTCAGAGATTTTACTGTGTTTCCTTCCCAGAATTTTATGGTTTTGAGTCTACTATTTAAGTCTTTAATTAATGGTGAGTTTATTCTTGTATATGATGTAAGAAGGTGCTCTAATTTCATTTTCTTGCATGTATCTGTCCAATTTTCCCAACACCACTTATTGAAAGACAGTCTTTACCCCATTGTCTATTCTTGCCTCTTTCATTAAATATTTGACCAGGTAGGTGTGGGTGTATTTCTGGGCTCTATTCTGTTCCATTGACCAATATGTGTGTTTTTATGCTACTACCATGCTGTTTTGATGACTATGGCCTTGTAGTATAGTTTAATATCAGCTAGCATGATACCTCCCTTTGTTCTTCTTTCTGAAGATTACTGTGGCTATTTGAGGTCTAATGTGGTTTCATATAAACTTTTGGATAATTTATTCTAGTTCTGTGAGGAATGTCATTGGTATTATGATAGAGATTGCATTGAATCTATAGATTGCTTTGGCTAGTATGGACATTTTAATAATGTTAATTCTTCCAATCCATGAGCATGGTACATACTTCATTTATTCCTATCTTCAATTTCTTCCCTCAATGTTTTATAATTTTCTAGGTACAGGTCTTTTACTTCCCTGGTTAAATTTATTCCTGGGTATTTTATATTTTTTGATGCAATTGTGAATGGGATTGTTTTCTGTTTCTCTTTCTGATAGTTCATTATTATTGTATAAAAATGCAACTGATTTCTGAATATTTATTTTGTATACTGCTACTTTACTGAATTTATTTATCAGTTCTAGTAGTGTTTTGTGGAGTCTCTAGGGTTCTTTATATACAGCATCATGTCATTTGCACATAATGACAGTCTTGTTTATCCTTTCCAATCCGAATGCCTTTACTTCTTTCCTGATTGCTGTGGCTAGGATTTCTACATCTTTTAAATTTTAAAACTTCTGTTGATATTTTAAATATTTTAATGTAGGCTTTTAAATTCTGAGAGATACGTATTCTTTTTTATTTTTAATATTTTAATTGTTCTGAGAGATATAATCCACAGATTTCTTGATGTTTGTGATTTTTCTTTCTTTTAAGTTATAATTCCTTTCATTATATTTTATTTATATATTTATTCTGGAAAATACATATTTTTCCACAGTGTGTGTTTTTCCAAACTATGTATTTTACTGTGGAAAATATAACCTGGAAATATACAAAAATAAAATTTGGCATTTTAACCATTTAAAAATATTTTATTTATTTTACTTTTAGAGAGGGGAAGGGAAGGAGAGAGGCAGAGAAACATAAATGTGAGAGAGAAACACCAATTGGTTGCTTCTCATATGCACTCCAACCAAGGACTGAACCAATACCCAGGCACATGCCCTGACTGGGAATCTAGCTGGCCACCCTGTGCTTTGTGGGACACACCCAGCCAACTGAGCCACACTGGTCAGGGCAGCATTTTAATCACTTTTTTTAAAGAAGATTTTTTAAAGTTTACTTTTAGAGAAGGGAAGGGAGGGAGAAGAGGAGGAGAGAAACATCAATGTGTGGTTGCCTCTTGCGTGCCCCCCACTGGGGACCTGGCCTGCAATCCAGGCATGTGCCCTGACTGGGAATAGAACTGGTGATCCTTTCATTCACAGGCTGGCCCCCAATCCACTGAGCTACACCTGCTGGGGCCATTTTAACCATTTTTAATGGTACAATTTAGTGGCACTAATACATCCACATTGTTGTATAACCATCACCAATATCTATCTCCAGAACATTTCCATCATTCCAAACAGAAACTGTGTACCCAGTACATAACTCCTTGTTCCCTCCTTCCTGAGCCCCTAATAGCTGCTATTCTACTTTCTGTCTCTATGAATTTGCCTACTCTAAGTACCTCATATAAATGGAATCATACAGTATTTGTTTATCTGTGATTTTGCCTTTCACTTCACTTTGCTTTTTTGCCTTTCACTTTAAATGACTATTCCTAAACTTTTATGTCATTGGACTTTTGTCCATTTTATTTGCTTCTTTAATGAGAAATTGGTTTATGGTAGGGATTTTTGTTTTGTCATGCTGACAGGGTCAGTCCTTATGGAAGGCTGACCTTCTGCCCTTTGAACATTAGGGAGGTTGTTATCCTAATGCCCTTCAATAGATCTTCTATGCTCTTCAAGGCTGGCTTTCCAAAGGAGTCTCCTGTATGACTGGAGACAGATTCAAAATCCTTCTCGTCTTCCATGAGCAGTATTTCTCTAACCTACACAGCAATTGAAAGGTCTCCTCCTGCTGTTACCCCTGCATGTGTCCTGTTGCTGCTGGCGTCCACTTACAGGCTGCCCTATAATAGCTGTGGACTAGGGTTGCCAGGTAAAGTACAAGATGCCCTAATGTTTGAATTTCACATAAACAATGGGTATTATTTAGTATAAGTATGTCTCAACTATAGCACGGCACAGACTACACTAAAAAAATCGTTCATCTAAAATTCAAATTAAACTGAGATTCCTGTATTCTATTTGCTATATTTGGCAGCCCTACTGTGGACGCTGCTCAGAATACCAAACTCAAATCCAGTCTATAGGCTGCCAGCTTTCTCCTAGAAAATATAGGAGGAGAATGGACTGCACTTTCACCTTTCCTTAGGCTCTACAGAAAAATATAAGATTGGGTTAATCTGTGCCAATTTACTTACCATAGGGCCAGGGCCAGTTCAGAAAAGGAGGATCACAATGCAGGCGCATGATTTCCAGACCGTGGCAGGCCTTCACCACTTGGGCAGCTCGATACACACTCCCTGCAGTTGGAGAGGCTCAGTGGGTCTAGATGGCGAGCATGGGCCTTGCTTGGATATGGCCGTGGGGTTGGCCTGCACTCCCAAGTGTGCTGGGAGAGGCTGCGTGTTTTCTGACGACTAGATTTGGGACTGGCCGGCATGGAGCTGTTTTCAGCCCTGCCAAGGAAACCGAGTCTCCTTAGAGTGACTACCAGAAACCAGGCTTGGAGCAGAGTGGCCAGAGGAAAACCTGTCACCTGCCTCACAGGAGCTATGGTCCAATGTTTCAGTTGAGGGCCTCAGAAGAACCCATGAAAACACTGAGGAAAGTCACTCTGAGACAATGGACTCTCAGGGCCAGAGAGGATGAAGCTGTGCTGCATGCCCCCCGCCACCCCCGTTGACCACACAGACATGCACACACAAAGGTGGGACAGAAACCCCATGACCTGCTGGGGGAGATGTGTCAGCTCCTCCAGATGATGCCTAGTGGGGCTCAGCTGCCAAAGGGAGATTTTAATTCTCAATCAAGTTGGAAGGTTTCATTATCAGTTGGGACTGGACACTTCTTCATATTGAGTGGAGAGTGGGTTTTCAATAAAAAGTGAGCAACATAGAATGCAACTCATCTCAAGGTGCTCAGGACAGTCAGGGGATCCCCGAGCTCTCTCTCTTCTTTAGTCCAAGGAAAGGAATCCCCGATAGGTCACTTAGATGCAAAGTTGAGTCCTGATGTTTCTGGCAGCATTGCTCAGAAGAGTTAGAAATTATGTTTAACTACTTATGGGTGTTCAACAAAATGCTTACTGTAGGGTTAGAAAATATTTGAGACATATAAAACAATCTCACATAAATTATAATGCATAGTTAAATGAATATCCATGAACCCAACTAAAGCACTAGAAAGATGTCACTGCTTTTGATATATAACTATGTCTCTTCCCCAACCACATCATCCTCAAAAGGTAACCACTATTTTTTTGAAACCCATCTTTTTATCCTTTATCATCTGGAAACCATGTGTCCATTCGTGTTCCTAAAGCGATATGCTGACCTTGGCTTGTTTTTGAACTTTAAAATGGTGGTGTTATACAACTTTCTTCTGGAATTTGCTTTTGTCTACTAACCATTGTTTTTAAGATTCATCAAGCTTAATGTGTATGACCAATCATTTATTTTCTTTTCTGTCTGGGATTCCATTGTGTAAATATATAACTTTTCACGTATTCGTTCTCTTGTCAAAGTGTGGGGGACAGTGAAGGCTGGCGTCATAGCCAAGAGTGAGTGCTTGACAAAGCCACACTTGACTGCTTGCATCTGCAAGGTGGATCAAGCCAGCAGCTGAAACAGCCAGAACCTGCGGGGGTTGAGAATGAAATAGCCACAAGCTTCAGCTGTATGCGCTATAACTTTTGCAGAAGACATATCTATCAGTTAGCCTGGGAATGGAACAGCGTCTCCCTAAGTTTGCAAAATGTGCCTGCAGTGTCTCCCTAAGTTTGCAAAATGTCCTTCAGCTGTATCTAACCAACTCCTATAAAATAAGCACAGAGACTGTGTTTGTGGCTCATTGTCTCTCCATCAGAGGACAGTGTCCCACCAAGCTCCCGCTTTTCCTCAAACCATCTGTGTTGTTTCTTTTCTAATCTGCCATCACCCCCACTCAAGGACCCCCACTCAGCGCTGGTCGCGGCATCAAGGGACATCGGGGTTGTTTCCAGTTCTTCGCTATGGTGAGAAACGTTGTTGTGAACATCCTGGGGCTGCTAACAGGTGAGCCCCCTTCCCAGAGCACACACTTAGAACTGCCTGTTGTAGAGCAAATGCCGATTCCCTCATGTGGCATGTAAATTTCATTCCGTCCACATCCTTGCCAACAGGGTCAGAATTTTTTTTCCCAATCCAGTGAGTGTAAAACAATAATGTGCATTTTCTAATTAATAAAGTTAAGCAACTTATCATACTTTTATAGGTCAGCTGTGTTTGTTCTTCTGTGAATTGCCTGCTAATTTTTTCCCAACCTATCTTCCTATAGATTGTGCCTTTTTAAAAACAAGGACTCAAAACGTCTGGCCAAGATGGAGGCGTAGATAGACACACTGTGCCTCCTCGCACAACCAAAATAAAGACAACAACAATTTAAAAACAAAATAACAACCAGAACTGACAGAAAACTGAACTGTATGGAAGTCAGACAACCAAGGTGTTAAAGTAGACACATTCATCCAGACCGGTAGGTGGGGTGGAGTCGGGCTGCTGGGCAGAGAGGGGTCAGGGCACAAAAAGCTGTGGCAACGAGCGCACAAGATGGAAGCTGGCGGACCCTGGGCACGCAGGCGGTGCCTGGCAGACCCCAGGTGTGCGGTGGCTACGGGCAGACGCAGCGAGGTGGCAATCCTGAAGCGAGGCATGGTGTGCAAGGCAGCTGGCTGGCTGGGCGATCCCGCATTCTCATGCAGATAAACCAGGTGAGGCGGCGGAGCGAGACAAACTGCGGAACCCAGGGTCCCAGTGCCGGGAAATAGAGCCTCAAGGCACTGCTTGGGGACATCTGTGGGGGTTGAGGTGCATGGAGAAACTCCTAGCCTCACAGGAGAGTTCGTTGGAGAGACCCACGGGGTCCTAGAATGTACACAAGTACACCCACACGGAATCAGTACCACAAAGGCCCAGTTTGCTTGAGGGAAGTGGCAGAGGGGACTGGGATCTGACAGAGAGCACAGCAAATGCCATTGTTCCCTCTCGGACCCCACCCCCACATACAGCTTCACAACCCAGTGACTGCATTGCTCCACCCTGGTGAACACCTAAGGCTCCACCCCTCATACATAACAGGTGTGACAAGACAAAAAAAAATGGTCCAAACAAAAGAACAGATCAAATCTTGAGAGCAAATACAACTGGGCAACCAAGAGACAGCCAACCTAGCAGATGCATAGTTCCAAGCACTGGTGATCAGGATGCTCACAGAATTGGTTGATTTTGGTCGCAAATTAGATGAACAAATGAAGACTATGCTAGGTGAAATGAAGGAAAATGCAGAGGGAACCAATTGTGAAGGGGAAGAAAACTGAGACTCAAACAAATGAGTGGACCAGAAGGAAGAAAGAAACACCAAACAGAAAAGAATGAAGAAACAAGAATTAAAAATAAAAAATGAAGAGAGGCTTAGGAACCTCCAGGAGATCTTTAAATGTTCCAACATCTGAATTACAGGGGTACCAGAAGGGGAAGAGGAAGAGCAACCAGTGAAAAGTTATTTGAACAAATAATAAAGGAGAAATTCCCCAATCTGGCAAAGGAAATACACTTCTAGGAAGTCCAGGAAGCTCAGAGAGTCCCAAAGAAGTTGGACCCAAGGAGGAACACACCAAGGCACATCATAATTACATTAGCCAAGGTATAAATGAAGGAGAGAATCCTAGAAGCAGCAAGAGATAAGGGGACAGTCAAAGTTCCCATCAGACTGTCAGCTGATTTCTCAAAAGAGACCTTGCAGGCAAGAAGGGGTTGGAAAGAAGGATTCCAAGTCATGAAAGGCAAGGGCCTACATCCCAGATTGCTCTATCCAGCAAAGCTTTCATTTAGCATGGAAGGGCAGATAAAGTGCTTCTCAGCTAAGGTCAAGTTAAAGGAGTTCATTATCACCAAGCCCTTATTATATGAAATGTTAAAGGGACTTATCTAAGAAAAAGAAGATAAAAAACATGTATAGTAAAATGAGAGCAAAATCACAATTATGAACAACCACACCTAAACCAAAAACAAAAACTAAGCAAACAAGTAGAACAGGAACAGAACTACAGAAATGGAGATCACATGGAGGGTTAGCAACCGGGGAGTGGGAGGGGGAAAAAGGGGGGAAAGGTAGAGAATAAGTAGCATAGATGGTAGGTAGAAAATAGACAGGGGGAGGGCGATAATAGTATGGGAAATGTAGAAGCTAAAGAACTTATGACACATGGACGTGAACTAAAGGGGGGGAATGTGGGTGGCAGAGGGTGTGCAGGGTAGAGGGGAATGAAGGGGGGTAATGGGACAACTGTAATAGCATAATCAATAAAATATATTTAAAAAACATGAACTCATACCTCTTTGACTACAAATCCTTTCTTGATGACATGTGGTGCAATTATGTTCTCCCATTTGTGCCTTGTATTTTCAGTCTTTATGGTGTCCTTTGATAAATGAAACTTTTACATTTTATCAATTATCAATATTTTTCTTTATGGTTTGGACTTTTCTGTGTGTCTTAAGACATTTTTAAGTTCTTACAGATACTCTCCTATATTTACTTCTAATGTTTTTTCTTTCATTTACTTTAATTTCTTAATCTTATCAAAATCATAGGCATACCTACCCATTTTAAAGGGTCAGAGATCGTAAGTCTGGGTGAGAAAGAGCGGCCCTCCCACTTGCCCCATGTGCGCTCGCTCCCACCTCTTCAATGGGTGGTGGGCCGGCGTGTGTGGCTCCTTGTTGATTGCTGTTTTGCCACCTGGGGGTTGGACACCTTGTCTCCAATATCCATATGCACTTTTCCTGCTCCCCAGCTTCCCAAAGTGGTTAGGACCACTTCCCAAAGTGGTCACCGTTTGGGGTGCATCAATATTCTGTGTTTAAGTTAAGCTACATATTAAAACCAAGATTACTTATCCTCTCTTGTAGGTTTTTGTTTTGTATTCTTTCCCTTAGAACTTTATCTTTAGTTTTCTATGTATTTATCATGTATCCAACTCCAAACTATCATATATATATATGATAGTTTATATATATAGATACATATATATATGTATAAAATCTCATGACATTCAGGTGCTTCATATAACCTGTCAATTAGATCTCCCTGAAGTCTTTCCCATGGCCTTTGGCCTCCAACCTCAACTGATCACATTCTGTGTGCCATTCAACAAATCCTTATTAAGTTAACCATGTGCCCACACAGTGTGCTAGGCCCTGGCAAAAGAAAGTTAGCAAGACAGTCATGAATGATTCTTGCCTTCACGGAGTTAACTATCTAATAGTTGATTCTGAAACAATGAGGTTTTTTTTTTTCTTAATAAAAAGATTTTTTTTTTTTTTTAGAGAGGGGATGGGAGGAAGGGGGAAACATTCACATGAGAGAAAAGCATCAGCTGGCTGCCTCTTGCAAGCCCCCAACTGGAGACCTGGCCCAAAACCCAAGCCTGTGCTCTGACTGGGAATCAAACCAGAGACCTTTCAGTTTGTGGGGTGATGCCCGAGCCATTGAGCCACACCAGTGAGGGCCAGTGGTTTTTGTTTCCTAGTTATTTCCCAGGGTCCAGAACTGATGCCTGCCTTTCATAAGATAGCACCGGACATGTATCTCCTGAGTATGAGAGGGCTGCTTCCTGGTTTCCTCCCTGGCCAAAGCTCAGCCTCTAAGTTAGGGGCCGACGGTGGGAAGTATATGAACATTTTCCCACTTTTTCTCAACTGGGTCCTGTCTCATAAAATGAAGTTATAGTAGGCATTTTTTTTTTTTTTTGTCCAGCCCCACTTGCCCCATGATTCGTTGAAGTTCTGGACTTAGATTCAGATGTGAGGTGCAATGGTGAGGCTGGGTGAACAGTGATGAGAATGGGCTGGGGATCCTAGAAACATGTGAATCTGGCCACACTTCCCTGGGAACATGCTGGACCCAAACCACAGGCAGAAGTCTAGAAAGCTGGGCTGACCTCTGAAGAGGCTCTATTTTCTCTAAGTTCAGAGCAGACTCAGATTTCCCCTGTGCCACAAGACCACCCAGAGTAATGGAATCTGTGGCAAAGGGAGGGAGGGAAGGAGGGGGAAAGAGAAAAAAAAAACCGAAAAAGAATAATTTACTTCAGTATCTAAGGAGGGGCTAGCTTGGGCTACTACTGGGTATTTTTGGGCCAACTGTTGCTGTCTTAAAGACAGGTAGGAGAGGAACAGATAGGACTACAGCTGTGGACCAAGACAATGAAGAGCACACATCTATGTACCTTGTGACTGTAATCACCTTAAAATGTGGCCCAATCAAATTTGGAAAATGATCCAGCATTGGGGTGTTACCAAAAGGACCCATGGGGGGCCCAGATACTGTTACTGAAACAAGCCCCCTGCCCTGGGGTCTTCCTGTACTAGGTTTGTCTTGCCTACTGCCAGGTAGGAACTGTGGCTCTCAATGCCAGTTTGGTAAAAAAGAAAGGAACTATTTATTCAAAAGTTATACAGGTTTAGAATAATGGTGGAGTCGCCAAAGTCCCTTTAAAACACACACACACACACACACACACACAGAGTTCTTACCTTCCCCCCTTTGCCCAACCAGGCCAGTCAGGGGTACTGTATCTCAGGAAAAAGAAAGAAGTCTGTAGCTTGGCTGGAGTCCTGGTTCCTCCTGGGAATGCGTGCTCAGCTGGGCAGGTCTCCCGCAGTCCCCAGCACCACCAGCTGTGTCCTCGAGATCTCCAGTTCTTAATCCAAAACTGCATGGCACCTCCTCATGGCCACAAGGAAGAGTCCTTTCACCCCTTTCCTTCCTGCATGGTCTCCCATTGTCTTCTCACATTGTCCTGCACTGTCTCTCATCTCACCTGGAAGCCCACCTTTAGTTTAAATCCCAGCCTGGAACATCCTCCAAAACCTCACTTTGGACTGTTCCCATAATTGGCTACACCTGCCAGCATCCCATATTTTCTGCCTTTCTTGGCTGCCATAGTTAGTCCAGGCAGGTGTGGCCCCATGGTGTTGAGCGAACCGTCTCAGTGCTCTCACTCGGGCACTGTAACCAGGGAGCTGCCTCCCAGCTCCATCATGGATCAAAGTCACACCCATCTCCCTAGCTAGCCTGCTATTGATATGTAAAATAACTCTCAATGGCCCTGCTCCATGTCTCCCTCCCCCCAGCCAGGCCTATGGGGGATATCCTATATTCCCAGGCACTCCAAGTTCTGGACCCCATTACAAATCCCTCCTATGGGGGACCCTGGAGCCTCCGAGCCTACACCCTGTTACAGGAGGAAGTGGAGTTTCCTTACATCAGGATCTTCATTTTCAGTTATGGTGGTGGGGAAGCTGTGAGATGAGCCAAGAGTGCCCCCCTAGAGGCCAATAAATTAGTATTGCTATTATTCAGCCCAACCAGAATTCATGAGTAGTGAGAAATTGGTAAAGGGCTGTAAGCAAGGGTTTACAGCCAGTCAAAATAAAACTGTAGCTTAAAATCACCCAACTCCCAAACAGGTAAAGATAAAGACCATATCAACAGTTCAGCTTGGTCTAACTTTCTAAGGACTGTGCAGTACAGTCATTGGGACATAAAGTGCACTGTGTACAGATAAAACACTCCTTCTCTATTTCCTCAGCCCACACCTGTGGATGGTCACTGGAGGCCTTTATGGGGGAGGTGCAGGAACAGAAGCTGCCCTCAGGGAAGAGGAGTGGTTGAGGAGGCTGGAGCTGACCTCCAGGAGAAAAGAGGGCAGTTCTTAGGTTAGGTGTGAACTAGATGTAGGAAGAAGCAATTCAAGAGTAGATCAGAACCTGCAGCAAAAGTTCAGCCTAGGCCTGGGCTTCTTGCATCTGTGCAAGAACAAAAAACAAAACAAGAGTCTCAAGATCCCCACAGGGATAGGAAAAGGCCCTTTCAGAGAAAGATCCTGGAGTGGTTGTTGGGGGTGGGGTGCTGGTAGAGTGTGGGGGCGGAGCAGCCTCATAGCCACAGGAGTGAGGGCACAAGGTGGTGACTTTGTGGCTTTTGCCAGGTGCTCAGCCTGAACCACTGCAGGCACAGTGGGGAAACCATCCTGAGCTCTGGGCGGCAGAACAGATTCTGGGAGAGAACCATGGCCAGTGCTTAGATTCTGCAAGAAGCACTCAGCCAAGGAAAACCACGTTGTGAGAACTCTCAGCACCCCTCCCCCACGCTGTGCTTTGACTTGGCATCCTGACTGTGTGCCTGGGGCTCCTGTTTAAATGATCTTCCCCAAGGCCCCTGTCCTAGCATTCCTAAAGTGTGCTCTGACTGGGGTAGGACCTATGGCTTCCCAGACCCTGAACCTAAAAGCTCTGGGAATGTGCTTGGAAGACACAGCACAGGTGTAGAGAATCACACTCATCATTCTTAAGAGGACTCCATCCTGTCTGTTCCCTTGCAGACCCAGGTTGCCAGACAATGATCACTTTGTCTGTATTCTGAGTAATGACTTCCCATAATATATGTAAACAGCCACAGCATTTGAGAGCTCAAAGGAGGTATAGACATATTTATGCTCTTATTTGGCAGGTAAACTGGCCTGAAGTAGTTAATTACCCTGCCTTCTTCACATCCTCCTTCTGATTTAGGGAGGGAGCCCAGGTGGCACCATTTGAAAGCTTTTGAGCTGTGCTTGGTGGCGGGGCCTCTTCTTTGATGGAGACTCTCAGGGAGCCTTTTGGGGAGGCAACCAGCCCTGCTGCCCTGCTGGAGCTTCACGGAACTTCGAAGAAGGCTTCTGAGCACCTTCCCTGGTTCAACATTAGGCCTTACTTGTAATTCCAGGTCTTTATTAAGTCACAGGTCACAAGATTAAGAGCTTTATGCGCATTATTACATATATTAATTCCTGCTTTTCAGAAGTGGTTTGAAGCTCCAATCCTGCAAACAAGATGGTGAGTGGAGGAAATTCACCAACGGCTGCTTTTCTTCGCAGCCTACAAAGTCATCTTCTGGGGCAGTTCAGACGAGACTAAAGGGAGGCACCAGACATATATGCCTGTGTCTGCTGGGAGTCTCTGGGTATGCCCAGAGAGAACCCTAACTAGACACTCTCTCCGCAAAGCCCATGACAGGGCTCTTGCCGCACCAAGCTGTGTGTTCTAAAGAAAGGCCACATTTCACCCTCACAGACCATTTCCCTTGATTGATCCTTTCATTTATCTTTTAACATTGATTTGAGAGAGAGAATTTGTTGTTCCCCTTATTGATGCATTCACTGGTTGACTCTTGTGTGTGCCCTGACTGGAGATGGAACCCGCAACCTTGGTGTATCACGGCGACGCTCTAACCAGCTGAGCTACCTGGCCAGGGCTTGCCTGACCTTTTAGATTGGGGCTTCCAGTGTGCTTCAGGGGGGACATTACACAGTCCCCTGCACATCTCTAGAAGGGAAAGAAGTGACCCTCTGTGACTTGCTTTACAATGAGCCAATAAGAAGGTATTTATTTTCTAAAAGTATAAAAACACATACAAAAAGGGATTATTTCTTGGCTGAAATTAAGAGATAATATGGTTATAGCAAACATCCCCGTGGACAAGGCCTATGTAGAGAGAGTATTGCTCCCAACCATTAATAATCACCACTCTGCCGCAGACTGAAAGGTCACTGCTTCTAAATTACACATGGATAAGGAGTTAGTTTTATTACACCAGGCTCATAAAAACTAAGGAATGTGCTTCTTCGGGTTGATAAAATAAAATTCCAAGGCTCTGAAGAAAATAATTTTATGTCAGTCCCAGGGAACTTTCCTTCCCAAGAGTCGGTTGGTCACTTTCTGTGGAAGGAAACACAGGCAGGAAGAGGTTAGCAACTTGCGGTCAGAGGCAGACAGACGCTCCTCACTGCAGACCCGTTGCTGAGCCAGCTGGTTCTGCCCAGACCTTGTTCATCTATCTTCCCCAACTACAGAAACTATGGTGATTATACAAAAAATTGTTTCTGAAGTATTTAGGAAAGATGATCTATAATCAATATCTATTGATTATTTCTATATAGATACAGATCTCTATAATCCTGATAGACTGATCCATCCAGTTCACAAACACAGAAGCACAAAGAGAGGCTGACACAGTGACTAGGGCCTGTCCACTTGAGGGGGCCTAGCCTGAGCTTTGGGGTGTGCTTCAGAGGCAGTTTTCCAATCCCACATCAGTCTGGTATGAACTCGTCTTTTGGTTTATGACCTTCAGAGTCCTCTTGGGGTGAAGAGAGGGGGCTGGGAAATAACCAGGACAGTGAAGGATATGGGCCTCCGGGCATAGTAACTGATTTTGTTTCTCAAGGAATAATTGCTAGCAAGTCCCCTGGCCTGTGTGGTCCCGGGATCAGCAGCACTATTGACTGTGCTGGGGCCATGGGCAGGAAATGGTGTGGCCTCGAGGCTCTGGCTCCCCAAGCCACCTACACTTAAGCTATACTGGGACTTTTTCCAGTTTATTGTAAAAGTTCTAGAGGTATAAAACTACCACCTGGGACTCTGGAATAAAAACCAACAATTCACCCTGGCTGGTGTGGCTCAGTGGATTGGGTGCCAGCTTGCAAACCAAAGGCTCGCCGGTTTGATTCCCAGGCACATGCCTGGGTTGCAGGCCAGGTCCCTGGTGGGGGGTACATGAGAGGTAGCCACACATCGATGTTTCTCTCCCTCTTTCTCCCTCCCTTCCCCTCTCTCTAAAAAATAAGTAAAAAAATTTAAAAATAAAAAAACCAAAACAATTCTACTAGACAATAAAACCCCAACATTTCTATCATGATATACATCTAAATTGACTCCCAAAGATGAAATTTGGCTTCTTTCCAAATGTATGCATGGAAGGTTTCATTTTAGACTTGCATTTTTATTTTTAGATTTGAAATCTTATCATAGGTGCTTTTATCTTCTAAATTTCAGCGGTGGTATATGATACATTATGAGCTTAAGTTCACTCCCCACACGCAGTCAATCAAACAGGTTAGATGTGTTTCTCTCAATTTCTTTTCCTTCTGATAAACCCGACCAATCCCACTCTAGGACTGACTGACCTTTTTATACAGCTGGGCTCGCAACCGGTATGACTTATGTTCCAGTCTCCTCTTTTCCTCTTCTCTCTTCTTCTGTACTTCTGGGAGCTGCTCATAAATCCTTAGAAATGGCACCAGTGGAAAGACAGAAAGCAGCGAGGTTACCTGACTACAGGGGCACATGGTGTCTTCTCACCTAAGCTCTACTGCTCTCAAGGCATTCAGTCCCTCACAGTCAGGCCCTGGGCCTGTTGTGTGCCCAGCGTCCTGTTAGACACTTGGACACAAAGAATCCTGGCCTGGGGTGCTTATGATCTGGAAGGGAAGACAAACAAAAACACAATAAAATCCTGCTAACAGTATTTACTTCTGGGAAAGGAGTGGGATCAAGGGGTGGAAATAACCTGCTTTTTACTCTATATGCAAAAAATGTACATCTTTAATATGAATAATGAACATGTATTACTATTATATTTTTAAACATAAGGGTAATAATGGAGAGATAGTTCAATAATAGTCCTATCTCCAAAATGTTATACAATATTATAGGAAATGAAAAAACTTATTCTGAGTGAAGTAGGTTGACGAAGACCAGAGAGGAGATTAAGTCTGAGGTGGGTCTTGAAAAATAGGAGCAGACAGGGGATGGGAGGAGAAGGGAGTAATGGTAAGTAAGAGCTTCACAGAGGGGTGTAGGGGAACAGGTGGGAAGCAGATGGGGTGGAGGTGAGGGAGGTGGTGGAGGGTCTCACTCACAGTGATGTGAAAACTTGGGCTCTGTCCTATTAGGAATTGGTGTCACTGATTTTAAGTAGGGAGGAACATGATCAAACGTACACTTGGTAAACACACTCTAATGGAAAATAACCTAAATTTCCAACAAAAATAGTTAAACAGATTATGGAATAAAATAAAATTATTACAAAGCATAAAAAGATGTCTCAAAGAATTTTTAGTGTTATGGGAAAATATTCAAACCTGTATATATTAATTAGTTTGATCAGTAAATTTGGGGAAAAGTGTGTGTTAACAGCAAGTCTCTGCAGAACCCCTACTCCTGCCAGACACAGGAGTAGTGTGAGTTATGTTTAATGAAAGGAAGAGGGAGTGATATGTATTTTCTTATTTCAAATTTTCTCTGTATTTTCCAACATTTTCTATATCTGAAAAAAATCATTGAAAATCACTGAAAAAAGAGGCTCTGTGGAAAAGAGATCAAAGCAGGCAGAGAGCAGAGGTGGGGAGAACAGCAGTCTTCTGTGAGTGGAGGCCAGCCCACACCAGGAGTGAGAAGAGGCTTCCAGAGAAAACAAGAAGCCTGGTCTCCAGGATGTGCAAGCTGCGAGCATGTGCAGTGATAGGTAAAGTGACTGCTCCCCTGCTTTCTGGCCGTGCAAGTGGGTGTCCCAAGCAAGTATGGGAGAGAATGGGAATTCCATTTTGGACATAGTGAAGGTGATCACAAACTGAAAAAGCAAAAGTGGAGGTCAGGAAAGAGAACAAAAAGGAGTAAGTATACACTTGTAAAAGTCACTGTTCATGGAGAAGGATCCAAGATGATGGAGTAGTAAGTGAAAGCCAACTTTAACTTCCAACTCCCAGGACCAATCTGGAATTACAGCCAAACTGTAGAGAAATCATCCTAAATTGAACACTAGCTGGAGAGAAGCCTTATAACCAAAGACAGACTGAAGAAACCACTTCACCACAATGAGACTGGTAGGGAGTGTGGAGGAGGCGCCAGAGGGTTGGGTGGGTTCCCATGCAGCTGAAGTTCCAGAGGGGTATTTCAGTGGCTGAGGGGACTTTGCCCTGAGAAGTGTGGGGTCTAAACCCCAAGCTGGGCTCACAAGCCCCTAGCAACGGAGCCAGAAAGAAACCCAGAAAACATCCAGCTGTGAAAAGCAGCAGGGTTTCTGTCTGCCAGGAAGAGACTGCTGGAGATGCAGACAGTCCCTTAAAATGCCACACACACAAAATTTTGTTTGCAGCTACTTACCCTGGGTCTATCAGAGGGAGGGCAGAGTGGACTAGAGACAGCCAAGGGAAGTTTGGGGTTGGTGGCTCTGGGGAGAGAACTGAAGGAACAGCTGCCAGGATGCCTATGCTGAGTTATTCCTCACACTGCTGAGGCCATCTTTCTCAGGCAGAGCACTCCTCTCCAAGTGGCATCAACCTGAGGGGAAGCAATAGCTCTGCCCACAGGAATTACTCTGCCCCACCCTGTGGAGCTTAAGCCAGGCTGCTGATTACAGGTTGAGGCTATATCACTGATGGTTTAACAACTATGGTGGGAAATACAAAGAAGCCAACATAAAGAGAAGACAAAGAAAGAGGCCCCAAATGAAAGAACAAGATAATTTTCCAGAAGAAGTACTAGATGAAATAGAGACAAACAGTTTACCAGATAGAGAGTTTAGAGTAATGATTATAAGGATACTCAACAGCATGAAAAAAAGACATAGAAACCATAAAAAAGGGCCAGTCAGAAATAAAGAATAAAATATCTGAAATAAATAACACACTGGAAGGAATAAACAGTAGGTTAGATGAGCAGAGGATCAAATCAGTGATTTGGAAGATAAGATAAAAAAACAAAACAAACCAACAAACAAAAAACACCCAGGCAGAGTAGCAAAAAGAAAAAAGAATTTTTTTTAAAAAATGAGGAGAGCTTAAGAAACATTTTGGACAACAAGAAGTGTAATAACATCTGCATCCTCTGATCACTAGAAGGAGAAGAGCGAGAGCAAGGGATCGAGGACCTGTTTGAAGAAATAATGACTGAAAACTTTCCCAATCTGGTGAATAAAAAGATATATAAATACAGCTAAGAGAATCTCAAACAAGTTGGACCCAAAGAGGCCTACAGCAACGCATCAATAAAATGACAAGGCAATGACAAGGAGAGGATCCTAAAAGCTGCAAGAGAAAAGCAGGTAGTCACCTACAAGGGAGCACCAATGAGATTGCCATCTGATTTCTCAGGAGAAATATTTCAGGCCAGAAGGGAGTGGTGTGAAATATTCAAGGTGATGAAAAGCAATGACCTACAACCAAGGCTACTTTACCCAGCAAGGCTATCATTTAAAACCAAAGGAGAAATAGGGGCTTCCCAGACAAGAGAAAGCTAAAGGACTTTGTTAACACCAAATCAATAATGCAATAAATGTTATAGAGCTTGCTTTAAGGAGAAGAAAAAGAAAGAAAGAAAAAGGAGGAAAATAGTGTAACAATAAAATGGGCTAAATACCTATCAACAATCTTATATTGATAGATATGTACTTATATTGATAGATATATATTGATAGATAAGCCATTTAGATATATGTACCTTACATCTAAATGGTATAAATACTCCAACCAAAAGACACAGGGTAGCTGAATGGATAAGAAAATAAGACCCATATATATACTGCCTCCAAAAGACACATCTCAGACTGAAAGATACACACAGACTAAAAGTAAAGGGATGGAAAAAGATATTTCATGTAAATGGAAAGGAAAAAAAAAAGCTGGGGCAGCAGTACTTATATCCTAAAAAACAGACTTTAAAACCAAGGCTAGTAAGAGACAAAGAAGGACACTACATACTGATAAAGGGAACATCCAACATGAGGCCTTAACCCTTGGAAACATTTATGCACCCAACATGGGAGCACCTACGTATATAAAGCAAATTTTGATGGACATAAAGGGAGAGATCAAGAGAAATGCAGTCACAGCTGGGGATTTAACACTCCATTGACTTCAATGGATAGATCTTCCAGGCAGAACATCAACAAGGAGACAGTGGCCTTAAATGACACCGTAGATCAAATGCATTTAATTGACATCTTCAGAGCATTTCACCCCAAAGCAGCAGAATATACATACATTTCAAGGGCACATGGTACATTTTCTAGGATAGTCCACATGTTAGGACACAAGACTCAATAGATTTAAGATGACTGAAATCATATCAAGCACCTTCTCTGACCATAATGCTATGAAACTAGAAATTAATCACAAGAAGAATATTGAAAAACACACGAAGACATGTTAGGTAAATAACATTATTAAACCATGACTGGATCAACAATGAGATCAGGAAGAAATCAAAATACCTTGATGCAAATGAAAATGAGGATACAACAATCCAAAACCTATGGGACACTGGGAACCCTTTTGCACTGTTGGTGGGAATGCAGACTGGTGCAGTCACTGTGGAAAACAGTATGTGGACACCTCAAAAAATTAAAAATGGATCTGCCTTTTGACCCAGCAATCCTACTTCTGAGAATATATCTGAAGGAACCCAAAATGCTAATTTGAAAGAGCATAAGCACCCCTATGTTCACTGCAGCGTTATTTACAATCGCCAAGACATGGAAGTAGCCCAAGTGTCCATCAGTAAATGAGTGGATAAAACAACTATGGGAAATTTACACAGTGGAATACTACTTGGCCATAAAAAAATAAAAATTTACACTTTGCAACAGTATGGATTGACCTGGAGAACATTATGCTAAGTGAAATGAGCCAGTCAGAGAAAAGACAAATATCTTATGATTTCACCCATATGTGGAATCTAATGAACAAACTGAAATAAGAAGGAAAATGGGGACATACTCATAGATGGAGAGCAGGATGACAGCTAGGTGGTGGGGGGTGAGGTGAGGGGATGGAGGGATTGAGTAAAAAGGACAAAGGACTCACAGGCATGGACTACAGTGTAGTGACTGCTGGAGGGATGGGGTATAAGGGGACTAAATGGTAGTGGGAAAAAATACCATAAAGATTAAATTAAAAAGTAAAATAAATAAAATCTTTTAAAAAATAATGAAACTATAAGTCACTGCCCATGAAAAACATAATGAGATATCACCTCAAACCTGTCAGAATGGCTATTAAAAAAGAGAGAGAGGGAACAAATGCTGGAGAGGATTCAGAGAAAAGGGAACCCTTGTGCACTGCCAGTGGGGATGTAAACTGGTAAAGTACTATGGAAAAGTTTTTCCCCTCAAAAAAATAAACACAGGACCACCACATGATCCAGCAGTACCATTTCTGGATATTGATCCAAAGGAGATGAAATTATAATCTTAATGAGGCACCTGCACCTCCATATTCATTGCAGCAAGTCATTCATTCCACGTCTGCCACCTATTTTTCTTCTTTTTAGTGAGAAAGTACTTTCACAATTAATTTTCTTATAATGTTTTGACTTGAGCAGAATGCCTTTATTCGGGGTCAAGCCAGAGCTCTTGACCACTTGCTGGCCTGACCTGTACTCTTCTAATTACTCTTATTTTTGGGGCCTTACCGTTTAGACCTCTGAATCATTTCCTTCTTTCCAATGGGCCTGCCCTTCTGGGCAGCCAGGAAACCTAAGCAAGAGAAAGAAAGGGTTTTCAGTGAATATTGACTTAACGGGGAAGGGTATGGTATGCAAGAGCTGTGTGAGAGAGCTGCTAGGACTCTGTGGCCCTACTGTGAGCTGAGAGTGCTAGGTGGTCACCAGGGGCCAAGGCCACAGCCAAGGTTAGACTATGACTGTGACAGCAGCCTAAGTCTCCTGAAGACACAACACTGTGGCACAGACTAGACTGTGAACTTAAATACTGCCCAATTTATAGGTGATGTGATGAAAGCACTAGGTATACTTTCATATACTATTTTATATATATTTTCACAGCTTTCATGTATTATTTTATTGATCTTACACCTAGCATAACTGTAAGGAGCACAGATTCTGGAGCCAGCCCGCCTGGGTTCAAATTCAAGATTAGGTGTGTAATCTTGGGCATGGTACTTAATCTCTCTCTGCCTTAGTTTTCTCCCCTCTAAAATGGGGATATTAATAGTATCTGACTCAAGAGGTGTAAGCATTAAACGTGAACAATTCTGGGTAAAACATTTCCGGGTAAAACACAAGGGCTAATAACTATTATTATTATTACCACCACTACTTCTATTATTATCATTGCCACCCCATAAAGTAGCCAAGCCTAGAATCTGCCCCATCTTTAATGAAAAACAAAACAAAACAAAAGGTTATACTACTTTTAGAACTAACCTGCTCACAGACACAGAGCTTCTTTATAAAAACACCATTCTCACCGAACACGCTTGTTTTTAAGATCCAGTGACAGGGCGAGAGTAACTGGGATTATTTGGATCATGCAAGTACTGACAGCTAAACTGGGCAGCGTCTGCTACCTAAGGATATGTAAGTCTCAGCAAGCACAGATCTTGCCTTCCTTGCCCAGTAACGGGAAAGTGAACAGAGTGTACCTCTCTTAGGGAGCGGGCGCATGGGGTCCCGGTGGCCCTGCCATTCTCTCACAGTGTTGAACAGTGCCTCCCGCTCACTCTGAAACATGTTCTGCAGCTTCCTTTCCTGGACTATTAACTTCAGGCGTTTTATTCGCTCCCCAGAGCGGGAGATGAAGTCAGGCCTGTGAAGCTGAAGTGATTCCTGAGGAGGAGAAAATGCCCCCGTCCACACATTAGCGATGCAGTCTGCTCTCCAAGGGTCTGGAAAAAACAGTACCTGACCAACAGATTTGAAGAGCCTGTTTCTAAAGAAAATGAACATATTTTCTATTTCTATTCTCTAGAAATGATCTCAAGTTGAAAAATAATCTAACAATTCTGTAGGGGAGAACTCCAGTAGGGAAGTCAGAGGGATCAAAGATATGCCTTTGGAATAAGCCAAGAACCAAGACTGTGGTAATTACAACTCTTCCAAATGGGACAGAACTTGGCCCATTGTGCTATTTTAAATTTCCCTTCAAACAAATACAGGGTGGAGCAAAAATAGGTTTAAAGTTGTTCATAGGAAAAAAGTAATACAATTAACAAATAATACAAGAATAAACTTACATGTACTCACAACTATAAACTTACTTTTGCCCCACCCTGTACATCATTAAATAGCATTTCCTGTAGCTCCCAAGGGACCTATAGAGAAGAGACTTGGCACCTGCTAAACCCTGTGTTAAACAGGAATAGGAGTTACTGAGGAACGAATACAAGGCTGATGCAAGCACGAGGCTTCCAGAGCACTGCGGGTGTCTACAAACCCCATGAGCAGTGTTGCAACATCTTCCTTTCGACTGCCTTTTCCCCAGAGACTGAGGGTGAGGCATGATTTAAGGTTAGAGTAAGGTAACCTTTAATTAACAAAGAGAGTGAGAACATATGAATGATGGAGGTGCTAGAAAGTAGGGTCACATGACTGTACTTCTGAAGGCCAACTCACAGATTTAACTTCTTTGTGTCTCATCCTTTCTCCCCGCTTAAACACAGGGCTAAAATTAATGCAATGTCATTGTACCTGTAGAGTTGCTCTCACAAATGGCTTCAGAGGACCTCTGCCTGGGCCTGCTAGTGACCCATGGCTGTCTGTGTGCTGACCCTGCCAGTTCTGTTCCCGGAGTGGTTCCCTCCAGGGTTTGATGTTGGTTATTGGTGCAAACCAGGAGATACCGGGGCCACGATGTTTGAGCAGATTTTCCTTCTTAGGACCAGACTTCACATTTTCCACAGGAACAAACCATGAAACTCCTATAGGAAATATTTTTAAGAAAAAAAGATTTTTCTTTTTTCCCATCACTGACATGTGCATAACAGGGCTTCTGCAGAGCCTGCTGTTAGAAGCCATCATGGTGCCCAGGAGTCTGCTTAATTGCAGGTATGACTCTGTAACTGTAGTGCTAGATACTTAAAGTTTGTTTTCCTTGCCATGGTGGTGCTGGGGGTAGAGATGAGGTCAAAATAGAGTCATTCAGAAAAAAGAATCCGAGCATTGTAAGAGACTGAAAATTCAGTAGTTTTTCTGCAAAACTGGGAATTAGAAACTGACCTTCAGAGCAACTCTGCTTGTTCTTCCTTAACTTTTTGTCCCCAAGATAACTGGTAATGAGCCTTTTTTCTTCTATTTTTCCTTCTGACCAAGTAGTCACATCACTGTCCTCTTCCACTCTAACCTCGCTAGAACTTGGCGTTGGGAAAATCACCCCAACATCTCGAGTGTGTTTTCTGACACCATTCACAATCTCCAAGTTACCTGAGGGGAAAGATCACAGATGTCTCTGGGAGCAGCCTTGAGACTTAGTTGGCAGGTACATTCAAAGTTTTTAAGGCTCGAAAAACCCAGTCTGTTATCTTTGCTGGGTGGGTTGGGGCTGTGTGAGGGAGAGAAGGTGGAGGGGGTGGGAAGAAGGGGTTGTGAGAGAGAGGGGAAGAGGAGGAGAGAGAAGAGGGAGAAGGGAGGGGAAAAAGAAAGAGGGTTTGTATTTCTAAGTCCATTTAGATATTAGAGAGAATTAATTACTACTAATATAGACTCAATAGGAAAAGGATTTCAGTTCTGAACCCAAGTGAGAAAGGCAGTAAATGCTTGTAGTCCTACCGGCATCCCCCAGGTAAGGAAGAGGTTGACAGATGTAAAGACAAGACTTGGGGTGGGCGGGGAATCAGGGCAGTTTATTTTTGTTTTATAAAATCAAAAGATGTAGAAGGGCATAAAATGAAAGGTTCCTTTCTACTCCTGTTCTCTATTCAGTCAGTTTATAACCCCATGATTCCAGAGAAATTTTTTTTGTGCAGTTAAGCAATTCTCTTCCTTATTTTTTAAATACATGTAGTAGCATGCTATACACTGTTCTGTACTTCGCTTTTTCTTAATTATATATCTTGGAGATTTTCCATGTTGGTGGAGAGAAAGACCTATATTGTTCTATGCAGAATTTCATTATATAGATGTGCAATAATTTAACTATTTGGCTATTGATAGACATTGAGGTGAATTTAATTTTCTGTGATAATAAATACCTAGATTAACTTTGTGGCTAATTGTACATATTTGTCATTTTGCACGTATGCACAGTATATCTATAGGCTAAATTCCAAAAGTAAAAGTGCTGTGTGAAAGTAGTTTTGACAGAAACTGCCAAATTGCCTGTCACAGGCATTGGGCCTATAACTTATACTCCCACTAGAATGTATGAGTGTATTTCCCTACACTCTTGCCCACATACTTGTTATCAAGCTTAGATTTTTGTCAATCTGATTAGTGAATAATGGCATCTGAGTATAGTGTTAATCTTCATTTTGTATGAGGTTGAGTATCTTATGTTTAATAGCTACTTGTAATTTGAAGAAATGTTTAAATTCAAGTAATTTACCTGCTTGCACTCCCTTATTTAACATATGTACATTTTGCTTGTTGCAAAGGGTAGAGTTTGAGCTCCAGAAACTACCAGTAGAAGATGAAATAGAGTCAGAAGAAATCATATGGTTTGTCACCTAGAAAAAAACAAGAGACAGTTACCATTACATGTAGTCAATGGCACAATTACCCACATGATAAGAAAATATACAAAGTCAGCCAGATGACCCGATTCAAATTGTTGAGATAAAGTTGCCAGGAAGCTGTGACAATGTTGACATGCTGCCACATAATTTCTGATAGGGAGGAGAATGTGATTGAATAAGGGCCTGAGCTCTTTCCTGAAGGTAAGACACACACTCACAAAATGGTATATTCCTAGGATGAAAAGTTCTGAAGAAGATGTGAGCCAAAAATTAGTCTGGTTGGTTTTCAGAATGAAATTCCAACTTGACACCTGCATATGCTTTGATGCGAGAAAGAAGGCTGGGGATAATTAAGGAGATGGAGAGCTGCAGAGTGCTTTCTAAGATGAGACTCAGATACCTACACAAGGATAAATGCCAAAGAGCTGAAAGGCCCCAGGGAAGTCCTGACTCAGAACTGCAAAAAGCACTAATATGCCAAAAAATGGCCTTTTTAGTTACATTCAGAGCAAGGGTCAGAAAGTTTATGGATTTAAGTTGATGGTGGAATTTAGTGGGCGGGTGACAAAAAAATTTATCAAAATGGAGTTGAACAAATATAGTATAAAATAGTATTTCTTAGACTTGCATATCATAGCACTCCTCTGGGGGAGGAACCCTGATTCAAAAAAATGAGTTGAAGTCCTGTGGGGAGGGATGTGGGCACTGTATTTTGAATAAATGCCAGGTGCTTACCTCCTTAAGCAAATGTTGAAACCCAAGTCAGAAAGGAAACTGAAGGTATTTGCTCCCCTGAACTAAACAGATTATATTCCAGGGATTTAGGAACCTTAGCAACAGAATCCTGGAGGAGAGGAGCTATGTTAGATGTCTGGGGACACGAAGTGTTTTAATTTTCAAAAAGATAAGCATTGTAAGCTGGTGGGTTTAACACTAATGACTGGAGAGATTTTAGAATGGGTCACTAACCTGATAATTTGAAGCATCTGCAGGCCAAAGAAAAGATTAGCACATTTCATGTAGGGCTTAGTAAGGCGGGCAGCACAAGCCTTGCCCAGTCAGCCTTGTCTTCCCTCACAGACATGGTCACTAACTGGCAGTTGGAAAGAACGTGTAGTAGAGTACTTCATTTGAGTAAAATGGTGAAACTTCTCATGACATCTTTGAGGGCAAGATGGACTCATTTGGGTTAAATGATAATATGAATTGGTAGAACCCTAATTGGTTGAAACACTCCCAACTATTATTGTCAACACAGTGAGAAGCCTTTACTGAGTGATACACCTTGCATTCAACAACAAATATTCAGTAAGCACTTACTGTGTGCCAGTCACTAAGTTTGCTCTGGCTATTCCTTCTTAACATTTTTATATATCAATGTCTTAGAGATGTAGAAATAAGACTTTCCTACAATGCACATCTGCAAGGGCCTACATGCTGCCACAATCTGAAATAATAACAGGAACGAACAGGTCCAATCAAACAAGAGACAATTGTGAAGTGCCATCCTTAGGCAGGAGGAATGGCAGAGACTTGGATGCAGTACAAAAAACTCTGGGTCTGGAGTCCAAGACCTAAACCAGACTCACACCTTCTTTTTACTAGCTGTCTCTGCTTGAATAAGCCATAACCTCTTTATGCTAGTCTTCCCCATCTAGAAAGGGAACACCTACATTTCTGAAAATACGGAAGTGTTAGAACAAATGATCTAGATCATAAAGAGTAAAAAGCTAATATAAAACAATGAGATTATTACTGTTAAAAAAAAACCCAAAATGTACAAGCACAGAAAGTGTGGTGAGGAAGATGTGACTGACCAGCAATATTCTACACCTTCTTTGCAGCTATAAAAGAAAAAGAAAAAAAGCAGTTTAGATACTGAAATAGATGGATTTTTCAGATAGGTTATAAGTACAAAAAAGCAAAGTATGCTGCCATTTTTGTGAGAAAGGGTATAAAACGAATGCAGGCATTTGCTTTATAATGTGTAAATTAATTACCTGTGAAGGAAAACCCAGATTGAAAAGGGAGAGGTAATGCTGTTTTTTATTTGCAGATGGCATGATCCTATCTGTAGAAAATATGAAGGAATCCATAAAAGGCACTAGAGCTAAAATAAGTTTAGCCAGATTGCAGAATGTAAGATCAATTAAGATAAAAAAATCAATCTGTGTTTCTATATTCTAGCAATGAGCAATCTGAAATAAAATTATAGAAAAATTTCAGTCATAATGACATCAAAAAGAATAAAATACTTAAGAATAAATTTAACAGAAGTGTAAGCTTTGCACTCTGAAAACTATAAATCACTGATGAAAGAAATTAAAGATCTAAATAAATAGTGAGATATTCCATATATATAATTTAAAGGTAGGTAAAGCATCGAATACACATTTCACTTAAGAGATATGAATGGCCAATAAACATATGAAAAGATGTTCAACATTATCAGTCATTAGGAAAATGCAAATTGAAATCACAATGAGGTCACTTCACACCTACTAGGATAGCTGTAATAAAAAAGACAATACTAGGTGTAGACGAGAAAGCAGAGAAACTGGAAGCTTCATACATTGTTGGTGGGAATGTAAAAATGGTAGTCACTTTGGAAAACACTTCGGCATTTTCTTAAAAATTAAACTTAAACTTAACATATTACCCAGCAATTCCACTTGTAGTAGGTATATACCCAAATAAGAACATGTTCACACAAAAATGTTTACATAAATGTTCATAGCATATTACTATCCAAAAATTTTAAAAACCCAATTTTCTAATAACTGGAAGCTGGGTAAGTAAAATGTGGCACATCCATATAAAGGAATACTGATCACTAATGGAAAGGAACTACTGCCCTGACCAATGTGGCTCAGCTGGCTGGGCGCTGTCCTGCCAAATGAAAGGTTGCTGGTTTGATTCCGCATCAGGGCATATGCCTGGGTTGTAGATTTGGTCCTTGGTCACAGCATGTTCAAGAGGCAACTGATCAATGCTTCTCTCACACGTTGATGTTTCTCTTTTTCTCTTTCTCCCTCCTTGCCCCCCTCTCTAAAAATGACATCTTAAAAAAAAGGACCTACTGATATATACCACATCATGAATGAACCGTGAAAACATGCTAAGCAAAAAAAGCCAGATGGAATAAGACGACATATTATATAATTGTATTTATATGAAATGTCCAGAAAAGGCAGAGGCAGGTTAGAATTGTCTGGGGCTGTAATGTGGATTGATTGCACACCTTTTTGGGGGGTGATAGAAGTCTTCTAAAACTGAATTGTGGTAATAGCTGCACAAGTCTGTAAATTTACTAAGAACAATTGAACTGTACACTTGAAACAGATTACTTTTATGTTATATAATTATACTACCATAAGCTGTTTAAAAATCTCTGTAATGATGTGCAAGAACAAGTAACACTGAGTGAATCTGGAAAGCTGGTGCCTTGGAGACAGAAGTGGGAAGGAAACTCCATCAAATACTTTTACACATTTTAAATTTTGTGCCATATGATTGTATTACTAGTTTAAGAAGTGAGAATAAACAAAACAAAAACTTGAAGAGTGTGGCAACATAGGTCTAATGGCTCTGGTGAGTTCAACAGGAGGGAGTAAAATATGTGTTAGGCCATGGAAATGTTCTAATCACAGACAAAATCTGCTGTCAACCTGCTCTCACCATCTGAAGTTCAGCATGCTTAGTGTAAAAAGACATGCTTAAAAATAGGATGACAAACTTAATAGACCCAGGAAAGCTGCCAACTTAGGAAAGGGGAGTAGAAAGCATGACCTGAGGAGACTGGTTCAAAGGGTGAAGACCAGAAAGAATAAAAACAGTTCACGGAATAAAGTGGGGACCCAACAGGTAGAATGATCAGACCTATATTCTGTGACTTCAGTGTGTAAAACTGGGAACAGAGCCAGGAAATCAATGCAGGAAGATTTTGGATCTTTGTAAGTTATACCCTTTGATAACTGAAGTCTTACACAAATGGAACGAGCTGCTCATGAACAGTGAGTGGTGCTCTTGAAGCAGAAGCTGGAACACCTTGTGGTACATTTGCAGCCTGAGTCTGTGAGCCTCTTACACTTCCAAAGCACACACCAAGTTGTGGTATGCAACACCACTGCTGGGAAAGAACACACGTTTACATCTGATAAAATGAGCCTTGGTGTGTGTGTTTCCACTTATAGGTCAAGTATCTCTGTTAATTCCTGCCTAGAAAAAGGTTAACATTTAAAAATAGAAAATAATCTAAAAATAAATTCCTTTTCAACAAAATATATTTAGTTAGTCCTCTACAATGGTGAAGATAAAAAGGACATTAAAAAACAAGTGTTTTCAAGGATGTGGAAAAATCGGAACCCTCATACATTGCTGTGGGAATGCAAAAGGGTAACTATTTAGTAGTTCCTCAAATGTTAAACACAGAGTTATATATGACCCAGAATATATTCAATCCTAGGCATCTGCACAAAAGAAAACATATGTCCACACAAAAACTTGTACATGAACATTCACAGCAGCTTTGTTAATGACAGCCAAAATGTGGAAGAAATCCAAATGTCCATTAACTGATGGCTAAATAAATAAAAGGGTATCTTCATATAATGGAAGTGTTATTTGGTAATAAAAAGGAATGAATACATTTTACAATGTAGAAGAACCCTGAAAACTTTAAGTGAAAGAAACTTGTCTTTTGTATGATTCCATTTATATGAAATGTCCAGGATAAGAAAATCTATAGAGACAGAAAGTAGATTAAGTAACCATAGCCAGAGGCTGGGGCAGGGGTGGGATGTTGGGGAAATGAGGAGTGACTGCTAATGTATACAAAATATTTTGGGGGGGTATTAAAATGTTTTAAAATTAGATTGGGGTGATGGTGTACAACTGTGCTGTGCATACACTAACACCTGCTAAACGGTTTACTTTAAAAATGTATTTATTCATGTATACCAATGGACATACATGTAGATTATGAAGCCTCA